CTGGTGGTTCTTCGGCTGCAGAGGGTACTGATGCCGCGCGTCCCGGCGGTGCTCGTACTGTGGGTGCAGGAGCTGCTGGGTCTGCGAGTTCTCCTGGAGCTGGTGCTGCTGAGGGTGTTGGCGCTGAGCCTGCCGCTGGCGGTCCGACTGACAGTGCTCCTGGTGCTGCTACTGGAGGTTCTGGAGCTTCTAGAGGTGCTGCTGGAGGTGCTGCTGACGTGGGTGCTCCTGCCGGGGGTGCTGGTGGTGTTCGTGCTGTTTCTGCCGTCGCCGCGCGGCCCCGACCGTACTTCGTTCCGCTCCTGCAGCAGGTTCTTGGTCTTACACCTTCTCCTGGTCCTCCTCCTCCTCCCTTAGAGGGTCCACGGCCTGTCCAGTCACAGCCACAGCTACAGCCTGCCTCCCCTTTGCCTGCTCCTTCTCCCTACGCTGGTCCGACTAGAGGTCTTACTGAGCGTCGTGAGCCTGCGTCTCGTCCTGCGTCGCCTGTTTGTACTGCGCGCGCTAGTGGTCGCGGGTCGCGTCAGCGTCCTCCTCCTGTCCCTGGCACGCACCGAATGTCGCTGCGTCCGTCCACTGCTCCTCTGCGTGCCCCTTTGCCTGCTCCTCCTGCTTCCTCTCTTCCTGCTCTTGCCGACCCGGAGTCGGACTCTCTTCGTGCTGCCAGTCCTACTGTCGCGCGTCTCCTTGCTACTGCTGTCACTGACCCTTCCTTCGAGTCGTCTGCTGCGTCTGCCCTTGTCACTGAGCTTGTCGACTTTGCTGCGCGCTGTCGTCTAGACTACGCTGCTTGTCTTGTCGCTGAGTCTGAGTCTGCCTGTCCTCCGTCCGTCGGGGGTGAGTGTGCCCTCGGCACGGACGTCCTTGAGGACAGGCAGGAGGAGTTCCAGTGTCTGGCCGCCGCTTCACCTCATCTCGCGTCTGTACTGCTAGCCCCTGAGGGAGACCCGGATGCACCAGACATCCCGACTCCGCGCTCTTACGCGGAGGCGATAGAGGGTCCCTACTCCTCTCAGTAGCAGGCAGCTATGGATGCAGAGATGGCTTCCTGGAAGTCCACAGGCACCTACGTTGACGCTGTTCCCCCTCCTGGGGCGAACATCGTCAGTGGCATGTGGATTTTTAGGGTGAAGCGGCCGCCGGGTTCTCCGCCTGTCTTCAAGGCGCGTTACGTGGCTCGTGGCTTCAGTCAGCGGCAGGGGGTTGACTACTTTCAGACCTTCTCCCCCACCCTGAAGATGACCACTCTTCAGGTTCTGCTGCACGTTGCTGCTCACCGTGACTACGAGCTGCACTCTATCGACTTCAGCACAGCTTTCTTGCAGGGCAGCCTACAGGAGGAGATCTGGCTGCGTCGCCCACCTGGCTTCACTGGGTCTTTCCCTCCTGGTACCCAGTGGACTCTTCGGCGTCCAGTCTACGGTCTCCGCCAGGCGCCACGTGAGTGGCACGACACACTGAGGACTGCGCTCGCGGCACTTGGGTTTGCTCCGTCTACTGCCGACCCGTCGCTGTTTCTGCGCACCGACACCTCTCTGCCGCCGTTCTATATCCTCGTGTACGTCGACGACTTGGTCTTTGCCACAGCTGACACTGCTGGACTCGCCTACGTGAAGTCCGAGCTGCAGAAGAGACATACGTGCACTGACCTGGGTGAACTGCGTAGCTACCTTGGCTTGCAGATCACCCGGGACAGAGCGCGCCGCACCATTACCCTGACTCAGTCACACATGGTGCAGCAGGTCCTTCAGCGCTTCGGCTTCACGTACTCCTCGCCTCAGGCCACTCCTCTGCCTACTCGCCACTCGCTCTCAGCTCTGCCTTCGGATGAGTCCGTAGAGTCGAGTGGCCCGTTTGCAGAGCTTGTTGGCTGCCTCATGTACCTGATGACCTGCACACGTCCTGACCTTGCATACCCTCTTAGCATTCTCGCACGCTATGTTGCTCCTGGGAGACACCGACCAGAGCACATGGCTGCAGCGAAGAGGGTGTTGCGCTACTTGTGCAGTACGTCGGGCATGGGGCTAGTGCTTGGAGGGCGCAGTCCAGTGGTCCTCACTGGGCACGCAGACGCTTCTTGGGCTGACGACCAGGCTACGCAGCGGTCGTCACAGGGTTACACCTTCAGCCTTGGTTCCGGCTCTGTTTCGTGGCGGGCTACCCGCTCGTCTTCTGTTCTCGGCTCCAGTTGTGAGGCTGAGATCTACGCTGGGGCTATGGCTGCACAGGAGTTACGCTGGCTCACCTACCTGCTGACCGACCTTGGAGAGCAGCCTCGTTCTCCTCCAGTCCTGTACGTAGACAACAAGGCCATGCTGGCCTTGTGTCGAGAGCAGCGAATGGAGCACAGAACGAAGCACATTGCTCTCCGCTACTTTCTTGCTCGTGAGCTGCAGCAGCGTGGACAGTTGAGACTTGCGTACGTGGCCTCTGAGGCCAACACTGCTGATGTCTTCACTAAGGCACTTGCGCCTTTTGATCATCAGCGTTGTTGCACGCAGTTGGGTCTTGTGTCTGTCTTGCCTCACTTGCTCACTTCTTGACCTTGCTTGTACCGTCACCTATATATACTCTTGCTCTTACTTGCTTGACTCTTGTATATCTTTATATATGATCTTGCATGTGAACTGGCCTTCTCGCCTTTTGAACTTGTGCTCGGAATGTGTGGTGACTTTGTGATCCACCCTGAGCTTTGCTTTGCTTTGCTTGACTGGTCTTGTGACCCCTTGTTCTCCCCCACTTTGCCTATGGGGGTGTGTCAGAACATTATAGCTTACTTATTTGTGTAGGCTATAGTGGGGTATCCCATAGGGGGTTCAACCCAGTTAGGGTTTCCTATTTGTACTCACTTCGTTCATAGTTCACTCATTCTCTCGTTCACTTCTTCTCACTATGGACATACTGTTGTTACATGACCGGCAAGTTGATATTCCTTCAGTAGAGACAAGCTTGCAACATTTATGTTGCACTAATAAAGCCATCGACTCGTTTAACCACGCTGTTTTCTCATCTTCGTTGGAAGAGAAATACGCAGTCCCAGCGTTGGATTGTGCGTTGTTCGGGAATGACCAATCCAGGAAAGATAAACCGATTACCCCAGATGGGTTTTGTGAGAACATTATAGCTTATATATATTTCTGTAGGCTATAGTGGGGTATCCCATAGGAGCATGGTGGTGTATCAAACGTGGAGCTTGACCAAATCGAGCGACGCGTGATGGCAAGGTTCGCCGAGATGCTGTCGGCCATACTTTGGGGTGCTGGTCCATCCGTCCCAATCGGAGCGCCTGCAGCAACTCCTCCTCATTCTGGCCCTAGCATCAGCTCGTCGGAAGGCCTTCCCTCCAGCAATAGTCCCCTGGCAAACCATCGCGAAATTGTCTACAAAGCGGTAGTCGACTTCAAGGCGCGTTCCCTGTGATACACTGTGTGTGCGTTTCCTAGATTGTTGCTCGGCCTGTCTGCCCCCTCTCCCCTCAATCATAAGCCCCATTTGCTTCCCCTACTTGGAACTAGAGAGTTGAAGCTTTTCCTTAACACTGACACACTCTGTGCCATCCAGGCACCTCCTAACCACAACAGTAAACCCCGCTTGCTTCCCCATCCAGGCCTAGGGAGGTGAGGCTTTACCTAAACCCCAACTCCCCTCTGTTTGCCTGCCCACTCTCCCCTCAACCCGAAATTCCACCTGCTACCCTAAATACAGGCCTAGGGAGGTGAGGCTTTATCTAAACCCCAACTCCTCTATGCCTGCCTGCCCACTCTCCCCTCAACCCTAAACCCCACTTGCTTCCCATCCAGGTTTAGGGAGGTGATGCTTTACCTAAACCCCAACTCCCCTCTTGCTTGCCTGCCCACTCTCCCCTCAACCCGAAACCCCACCTGCTACCCTAAATACAGGCCTAGGGAGGTGAGGCTTTATCTAAACCCCAACTCCTCTATGCCTGCCTGCCCACTCTCCCCTCAACCCTAAACCCCACTTGCTTCCCATCCAGGTTTAGGGAGGTGATGCTTTACCTAAACCCCAACTCCCCTCTTGCTTGCCTGCCCACTCTCCCCTCAACCCGAAACCCCACCTGCTACCCTAAATACAGGCCTAGGGAGGTGAGGCTTTATCTAAACCCCAACTCCTCTACGCCTGCCTGCCCACTCTCCCCTCAACCCTAAACCCCACTTGCTTCCCATCCAGGTTTGGGGAGGTGATGCTTTACCTAAACCCCAACTCCCCTCTTGCTTGCCTGCCCACTCTCCCCTCAACCCGAAACCCCACCTGATACCCTAAATACAGGCCTAGGGAGGTGAGGCTTTATCTAAACCCCAACTCCTCTATGCCTGCCTGTCCACTCTCCCCTCAACCCTAAACCCCACTTGCTTCCCCACCAGGTTTTGGGAGGTGATGCTTTACCTAAACCCCAACTCCCCTCTTGCTTGCCTGCCCACTCTCCCCTCAACCCGAAACCCCACGTGATACCCTAAATACAGGCCTAGGGAGGTGAGGCTTTATCTAAACCCCAACTCCTCTATGCCTGCCTGCCCACTCTCCCCTCAACCCTAAACCCCACTTGCTTCCCAACCAGGTTTTGGGAGGTGATGCTTTACCTAAACCCCAACTCCCCTCTTGCTTGCCTGCCCACTCTCCCCTCAACCCGAAACCCCACCTGCTACCCTAAATACAGGCCTAGGGAGGTGAGGCTTTATCTAAACCCCAACTCCTCTATGCCTGCCTGCCCACTCTCCCCTCAACCCTAAACCCCACTTGCTTCCCAACCAGGTTTAGGGAGGTGATGCTTTACCTAAACCCCAACTCCCCTCTTGCTTGCCTGCTCACTCTCCCCTCAACCCGAAACCCCACCTGCTACCCTAAATACAGGCCTAGGGAGGTGAGGCTTTATCTAGACCCCAACTCCCCTCTACCTGACTGCCCACTCTCCCCTCAACCCGAAACCACATTTGCTTCCCATCCAGGTTTAGGGAGGTGAGGCTTTACCTAAACTATGACTTATGCTCTACCATCAACCCGAAATCCCACTTGCTTCCCCACTTGCTTCCCCGCCCTCTATCCTCAACCCGAATAGCCACTTGCAAACCCTTACTGCTTGCCTTCCATATCTGCCACCTCCCCTATCCCCCTCCAATCTACAGGAATTGTCTAGGCGTGTAGCAACACATTTTTGCTTCAACATTCAAGCTTCAATGATTCAGTTCTACCCATCTGTGGAGGAGGCCTTAGATCATGGGTTTAGCGAGTTTGTGTCGCCACAGGTTCTGGCCTCGTTGCGTGTGCTCTTTCAGCACAACGATGCCAGCACCAGAGGGGTCTTTTTCGAGCAGCTGTCCTCAACTAGGACTTCTATCAACGGCTGGATGAGAAAGGTGGCACTCACGGCGTTGGGTCGGCAGGCAAACAGGTGCTACTTGGGGAGGTTACCAGCAGATCTGCTTGCACCACTCGAGTTCTACACGGATGAGGAGCTCATTGCACGTTACAAGGATGGTGAGTTTGTATGAAGCTTTTGATCCCGTAGTTGCTGTTATGTGTGTAGCAATAATTTCTATAAGCACTACTTTGTTCCACGTTGCCCCTTTCGGTTGCCCTCTAGTCACCATAATGTGAGCACCTTTCATCCCTTTGTTTCCTATGACCACGCAATCCCATTTCAGGGGAGAGGGGGCTGGCATGGCATCGGGAGCTCCTCATCCCTTGCGGCAGCCTCATCTTCTCGGTGTCCATCAAGTTGGCTTTGGCGCGTCGTGGGGTCAATACCGAGAAGATTAAGACCCGCCAGCTGGGTTGGATCCTATATGCGGTGGGTTTATGGACATGTTGTTATGTTTGTTGCCTCGTGTGCGATGAGCGATTTAGTGTTGTGTTAACCTTTTTCTGTTCATTTATTCCACTACATTCCCACCTCATACCCACCACATTCCTACAGTTTGAGTGGCCAATCCTCAACAACGCGCCTGATGGGAAGTTGAGCGGCAAGTGGGAGTACAATCGGATCCAGTACGAGGAGATGTGCACCCGTGTGAAGCAGGAGGTCGAGATCGCTGTCATTGTCCATGGTGTCCCATACGCCAGCAACACGAACACATTCAACTTCCCCAACTGCGTCTACATCGACGCGTCTGACATGGAGACCCTTGTCAGCAGGGTGCAGGTAAGTCATCCCTAGGACCAAAACCTTGCTCATATGGCACCGACACTTTGCTTATGTGGCACCAAGATCTTGCTCTGGCACCAGCATTGCTGATTTCCTCCCATCTCATCCGTCCCCTTCCTCCCATCTCATCCGTCCCCTTCCTCCCATCGCATCCATCCCCTTCTTCCCATCTCATCCGTCCCCTTCTTCCCATCTCATCCATCCCCTTCCTCCCATCTCATCCGTCCCCTTCCTCCCATCTCATCCGTCCCCTTCTTCCCATCTCATCCGTCCCCTTCTTCCCATCTCATCCATCCCCTTCCTCCCATCTCATCCGTCCCCTTCCTCCCATCTCATCCATCCCCTTCTTCCCATCTCATCCGTCCCCTTCTTCCCATCTCATCCATCCCCTTCCTCCCATCTCATCCGTCCCCTTCCTCCCATCTCATCCGTCCCCTTCTTCCCATCTCATCCGTCCCCTTCTTCCTATCTCATCCGTCCCCTTCCTCCTATCTCATCCGTCCCCTTCCTTCCGTCCCCTATGCCTCTTTGCACAGGCTGCACGACCTGCACCAGCCCGGGTTGTCACCCCAAACCCGTAATCACAGAGATCTGCAGCAGCACTAGGGGGATCGGTGCAGGGCGTAGCAGTGGCAGTAGCAACCTACAGGAGCAGCACGGAGACAGGTGTAGAGGGTCGTAGCAGTGGAGATAGCAACCTGCAGGAGCAGCAGGGAGACGGGTGCGGAGTAGCGTAGCAGTCGCAATAGCAACCTGCAGGAGCAACACAGTGACTGGTGCGGAGGGGCGTAGCAGTGGCAGTAACAACTAGTAGCCGCAGCATGGGGACATGCGGAGCAGCAGGGGCAGCAGGGGGACAGGTGCGGAGCAGCAGGGGCAGCAGGGGGACAGGTGCGGAGCAGCAGGGGCAGCAGGAGGACAGGTGCGGAGCAGCAGGGGCAGGAGGGGGACAGGTGCGGAGGAGCATAGCACTGGCAGCAACAATCAGTAGCAGCACCAGGGGCATATGTATGGAAGCAGCAACCAGCAGTAGCCTCAGTAGAAGGATGTGGTAGTGTAGGAGCAATACAGTTGTTCGGTATTGTTTTGCTATATCTGGAGGTACATTATACTGTAATTTGTTTTTGCAATAAAAATGGTTTTTAAAATGAAATTTCATACAAATGGCAGTTTTGTATTGGGCCCACCCAGACTCTAATGCAACACACATAAAACCCCCCCTCAAGATACCCAATCAAAACGCCCAGTCAAGACACCCTATCAAGACATCCCATCTCACACACCATTCCCCCCCCCCCCCCAATCACAACAGCGAATCCACCATGTACGGGGCCTCCACCCAGAGAGCCCCGCCTTCCGCATCGCCATCGTCCCACTCCCGGTCCACCAAGTCAACGTTAATCCCCCCCATAGAAGACGCCGCTCGAAGCAGGATGACACGGGCTTGCGCACGTTGCAACGCCACCCCGATGAGCGCCTTCAGTGACCCTAGAAGATAAGCCGAAAACACAGTGTCGTCCTCCCGACAAGCCCCCCGCGACACAGCTAGCCCCACGTGCGCATCTCCCTGCTGACGAAGCCACCTCCGAAAGCGACCGCCGAGACACCCCCACGTCTCCACTATCAGAGGAGTGAACTGCACGCCCCGGTTGCGTGCAAGCAGAGGCGCGTAATCGTTCGTTTTACGACGCTCCCATTCTCTTGCCGCCACGCCTATTTGACGCCCGCACTGTCCTAGCAAAGACGGAGACAGCGATAGCGGGTCTGCGACGCTGATCTCTAGGGCGTGAGCCTCTCCAGCCATTGGTCGTCGCACCGCCACATCAACCCGCTTCCCCTGCAGCACCACACTATCTTCCATTGTCACCACCCCCCCAGACGCCTTAGAGATCTTCGCCACCGCAAACTTCACCTCATCATGTACCCGAGATGGACCATGCTGGTGCTTGCATCTCAGGGCATGATGCGGATCTGCTGGGTCAACATATGCTGTGCCACAAACACACCTCCCCGCCACCTGCAGCTGCTGAATTGGGAGCCCGAGTCGTATAGCAGCAGCAATGCCCCACTCCGCCGCAGTGAATGTGAGATCTGAGTGAGCCGGAACCGCCGAAACCCATGCACCAGCCCCCGGGCCCTGAAGGGATGTGAAACGGGCCAGGGTGGCATCGTCACGAGCCGAGCGACGCAGTGTCTGGAGCTCCTCTACCGCCAACAACCGCTGCCGCGCCTGGAAAAGCCGAAGAGGAGGGGCCGCTACGCACAGAGGTAAGCCCGGCATCTCCTGGCGTATAGTCGCAGGCAGCTGCTCAAGAGCCTTGGCAAACCACGGGTCAAGAAACTCCGCCCCTGCCGAAGTGGTGAGGGTTAAAGCTGAGAGTAGATTTGGTAAAATAATGGTCCTCAAACTCATGTAAAGTTTGGCCAAACATAGCCCAAACTTCATCTTAGCAACTATACCAATATTGGTCCACACAATGAGACCAATAATGGCCCGATTTTGGACGGAAACACCGAAATTGGTCCAAATATTGACCAATCTAATAGGCTGGTTTTTGTGATGTTGTCATGGCATTAGAGCTGCGTACAAGGTAATAAGGCTATCTGGTATAGCTGACCATTGTACAAGGTGCTTTATATTCCTAAAACTACCCCAAAGACTCCACAGCACATTTTCTTTTTACATGACGTCGCTTCCTTCAATGCTCTCGTGTTCCCCCCTACGCCACGCAGCGGCATACATGCAATCCGCGGAGCGAATATCCGAGGTGATATAGTCCTCCGTGCGCCCATCCAGGAATCCCCTGCCACTCTCGCTCTCCACCTCCACCGGCTCGCGCAGCAGCCGGGTCAGCAGGCGGTACCGCAGAGAGCGCACCTTGCGGGACTCCTCGGCTCGGAAGGTCTGACCCAGCACGCCGTGAATGCCGCTCGTGTGCTGCAGAGGGTAGGAGGGAGAGAAGGGGCGGAAGGGGGATAGAGGAGGGAGATGGGTGAAGGGAAGACGACTGTATGGGACAATATGACAAGAAGTTACCTTACTTGAAGCCAGGGATGGTTATTATCGCAGCATGCGGCCAGGCACAGCACAGCAATCATATGAAAAACAATCACAAAGCCAGGAGGAATGAAAGTAGATGAGTTGCTCACATTTAGCCGGTCGATGTGCACGTTGAAATGCGCTTGCGCCTCCGTAGCCGTCTGCATGAGCGGATGCGCCAACCGTGCCGTGATGCCCATGTCCACCACACCGTCAATCGTGAGATGAAACTCATCCTCGTCCTTCCCTTTGTGACTCAGTGTTTCCGCCAGCAGCAGCTTGAACCCGCCGCTGCCAACGATGAAAGAGCCGGCGGAGAGAGGCGGGGCCACCGGCGAGCCGTCGAGCTCCAGTCGGTCGATGAACCCGCTGCTGCCCCTCCCTTGCTCCTTGCCGTCGCGCGCTTTGATGAAAGCTGAGTGCTGTGCGCCAGTCTCGTCGCGCCACATCACATGAAGCTCCCTGGCAGGCACATTAAACAAGCGCGGCATGAGTGAGACTCGTTAAAACTTGAAACACGGCACACGTTGAAACTCCGGATCAGGATCATGTACAAGCACAGCCGCTTACCTGATCCAGCTGCGAATCGGCTTTGCTTTCAGAAGCCTTGCCTTCAACTCATGCTTCGCGTACTGAATCGAATGCTGCTCCTCTTCCTCTCCACTCCCGCCGCTGCGTTGACCCATCTCTCGCTCAAGAGCCGCCTGCACCTCATCAGTCAACGGCAGGCTCCCATTGGCCCGCATTCTCTCCAGCTCGCCCAGTTCCTCCGTGCTCAGCCTCTCCTGCTCCAGCTGCCTGATATGACGTGGCTTCTTCTCATTGGCCGCCGCCTCCACCGCTGCAGCGAGCGACTCTTCGTCCAATGATGTCGCCGTGCCGGGGAGATTCGCGATGGGCTGGTAGCCCTTGATTCCCATGTTGATGTGGATCCGGCGGTCGGAAAGCAAGCAGAAGGAGCGGTCGAGAAGGCCGTTGAAGTCATAGCGGGTGCCGTCTGCGCCCCGGAAATGCGGGTCATCGTCCGTGTTGGCAAGGGGGTTGCACTCTCCGCCCAGGAACGATGGTTCGGTGCCTGTGTCCCAGTTCCTAACTTCGATGCCTGCCAATGAGCCCAGCATCACGCATTCGCCACTGCTCGGAGTCACGGGGAAGGGGACAGTAAGACGTTCCGCAAGGAAGGACGGAGATGCGGCAATAAAAGGATAGTCTTAGAGGGGAAAAAGGGAGGCGTTGGCGAGTCACACGGTGAAAGGATTATGCACGTGTGAGGGCGAGAAAACAGCACTCAGTGCACAAGAAAGAATGAGAGAATGGGCGTCAGTGAGACTTAATGTACAAGAAAGAGCACAAGAAAGAACGTGATTATGAACGAAAGTATGTGCAGATTGCGGATGCTTAAAACTTCGAGAATGATGCTTTGGTGTCAAGATAACGATTATCAGTGGCGGTACTTACAGCGCGCCACCAGCCGGAGGTCTCAGGTGCCAGAACTTGCAGCCTTCTTGCTTGGCACACTTCTGACAGCATTCCACTATTTCGCTCATGTGCTGCAAAGAGGAGAGACAGGAAATTATGCGCAAGTTGTAAAAAAATGTTAATGGTATATCCTGTTACAAGCACTACTGATGCGCCTCCGAGCGCGGTTGCTCAAAGGCAATGGAAGAGATAGCACCTGCAGTAAATAAGGAAGGCAGAATCATAGGTTTGAGTTGCTGTGGTTAGTACCCCGGATGTCGCTGAGGAGTTTACGACACTCGCGTCATTAGGGATGACGTAGCGCTCAAAGTTGTAGTTCCCGAGTGTACTGGCTCGCCTCGCCCTCGTGTCGGTTGCGGGGTGGTCGATAATGTAACCCAGTTTTAGCTTGTTGCATCGCTTGTAACATGCGCGGGGTCTTGTTAAGGGGCCGTGCGGTGCGTTTTCGTTAGGCTGCGGAGCAACAGTGTGGGAAGGTGCTCCAAGAAGCACCGCGGCGAACAAAACCAGTAGCCGCGATGTCGCTCCCGCGGACCTTCCGCCAGTGGCGAAACACCCCGAGGAGCCGCGTGTTTTCATCTTATGATTACAGGCTCGGAACAGGTAAGTGCTGGAGCCTCCTTGCGGAACAGAATGGCAATAGAATGGTAAGTTACTTGGATTCAAAGTCTGGTAAGCGGCTAGTACTACTACTAGTACAACTAAGCAAGAAGCTTTATGGGGTGTCGGGTGTCTTAGATTCAAATCAAGAAAGCAAGGAAATTGACTTGAGCATACCGCACCGCGGATTTGCGAATTGGGTCGAACTACACGTGTATGCTCGTTCGTACGATCCCCAAGAAAAATGCCTGGGCAGTGGTGCGTTGCATATGTGTTGGGAAAAGGCGAATCACTGTCATCAGAAGCCACGTCAGATCAAATTGGCTTGACTTCGCGGTCCATGACAAAAGTCATGCGATTTCTTTACATTGGATGTCAAGGGCTTGACTTAGCATAGGCGATGTCCCTCCAAGACCGTCAATCAGGGGGCAACTTTCCAGATGTGGGGAGAAAAATCCCTACATTGAAGGGGTTGGCGGAGCAGCCTTTGGATTAAATTCAGGGTACTCTTTTTTCCCGCCAACTTAGGGAATGACGAGGGTACAACGTCGTGTTTAGCCTTGCTGGGACTGACGTCTGTGAAACGAGCGCCATATTGCCCTTGGTGCCCCTTGGGCCTCTTTCTGCAAGGGCCGAGATGCGTGGTACCTGGTGTCTGTCTGTGCCTTAACTGAGATGAAGAAGCATAGAACTAGAACATCTGGTGGGAGTTTGTCATTAGAGTGCTCAGGACCTCTAAGCAAAAAAATTTCCCGATTATGGAGTTTCAAACCAGGAGTGCAGGAGCGAAATGGGACATCAGCACAGGCTGCTGTTTGTCACCTTTTTTCCACACCGTAATTTCATGGTTATTCCGCACCCGACATGGCATGAAACTCTGTGCTGGTCTTGACTAAAAATATTTCAGACGTATAGCCATTTTGTGATCAGTCACCAACCCTAAAACTCTTCTTTATCAGTTATCAGCTTTATTTCACTGCCCCTTCTTCATATTTGCACTGCCGCATTCAACGGGGATTAACGCGGATTCGACAGTAGGAAACTGAGAATGAAAATCAAGTGGAACTGAAGGTGACCTGGTTGCAGGTGACGACGAATGAGACAGAGAAGTGTTCACGAAGATTTCGACGAGGTGTAACCGCTTGGGCGATGTACACGAAGGCATGTGCAAACAAATGCACTACAGAACTCTGGATTTGCATGTCTCTCAGGCGAATCGAACAGAATTTGAATGTTGACAAGTAAGGGCGTATTCCTGCACTTCGGGTCATCAGCACTTCGGGTCATCCGAGATTGTGGGATCCAACCGAAAAACCGGAATGCACCCCAATCTTTTAATACGTCTTTCGTACGAGACCTCATTTGTTTGTTGTCTCTAGTGGTGTGTTATGCACATCTTCAAGTACACCCTGGATAGACGAATACACAAACAAGGTAGCATAACCCGTGAATATTCCATATAGAAGCACTTATCAGTCAATGATGTATGCAACAGGGTTTTGACGTTACACTATTTGTTCAAACTCCCATTTGATACTATAATTTTTATAAGGTTCCTGTTCTATCTTGATTGCAGACAAATCAAAAGAAGGCACCATCCTAGTGGGAAATCTCTTTCATGAACCAGGGGCTTGGCTCATATTCCATACATGTGTATCGCTGTAAGGAATTTTCTCGGCATTCCTTACGGAGCCGACTACATCGCGTACAGCAACAGCCGTTGTTCGCCCGTTACTGCTAACGGGACTTCGCTGACTTCGCGCGCACTGTTTTGCCAAACCTCGCACTGCTGGCATGGCCGTATCGGCCTACGCTTCGGGACTAGCCCGAGCCTCGCTCCAGCGTAGCACTAGCAAGCTCGCACGCACCGCGTTACCGTTTTGCATGTTTCGCGTATAAATGTTCGCTCATGCCTTCGCTCACATCTTTGTACTCGCTTGACACCTTAGTGCAATTCTCGCTACTTCGATTCATTGCACCCGTAACACTTGGTATTCAGAGCCCCTTTCTTTCGCACCGCGCATCTCCGCACACCAGGAAATCAACTTTTGATTTTTCACTCGAAGGGACATACGCACCTTAGCCCCTAGGAGCCGCTGTCCTCGCGTTCTCTCGTAAACGCGTGCAGCCACGACTGCGCCTAGACTAAGACGAGCCGACGCCCTTCGTCATGGCTGAAAATATCGACGTCACCACCCTCACGCAGGAGCGTTTGAACGATCTGCTGCGACAGCTGCGCGAAAGTTCCGAGGAAATCGCGGCATTGACGGCAGAACGCTCATTGCTGCAAAATGACCTCACGAAGGCACAACAAGCACAATCTCAAGCACCTGGCACTCCGATTCAACCTGCACCCTCGACATCACAACACGGGAGTGTGGGGCAACCCGCGAGCGCGGCCAGTGATGGCGTCGTCCGCCCCGACGGGGACGATGACCACGGCACGACACACCCCGGAGCGACGCATGCGGCCCCAAGTCAGCCTCGCGTCACGATTTCGGCACCAACCCACGATTCGGGACTACCGTCACCGAGGCCGCTGAAGCCGCAGCGCCTGCCATGTTTTGACCCGAGTCAACGGGGTGGTCCTACCGTTCAGGCGTGGTTGTTCACGATGAATGTCTTATTCGACGCCAACTACGTCTCGGAGGACTCGGTGAAGATTCGATACGCCGTGTCGCTGCTGCGAGGACCCGCCATGGACTGGTGGCGCGTCATCGTCACGAAGCCGACAGACTACGCGACACTACCGACACGGGAAGGACAAACTGGACCCTGGGCGCCGTCGTATTTCGTGGAGGTGCCCCAGTATCGCACGTGGGATGCGTGGTGCGCAGGTCTGCGCGCTCTATTTGAGCCAATTGCGGCTTCGATCGCGGCGCGACAGAAGCTCCGCACTTGGCGCCAACTCGGTTCCGTCCAGGACTACACGAGCGGATTTCTGGCGCTATGCGAACAGGTGGGCTACATGCATGAGAGCGAGCGCATTGACCGCTACATCGACGGCCTGAAGCATGACATCGCTCAGGAAATCCAGCTTCGCGGCGTCACCGAGTTTCAGGAAATTCTCGCTATGGCGGAGAAGCTCGACTTCTTTCGCCGACCGAGACCGGGGTCCTACGGAAACAACAACTGGGGACATCGGCCTCGTGGGACGAACGAGAGCGCCACGATACGCGCCGTCGCCGCAAATGCCGCTGCCGCACCGTTCAAAGGGCGCTGTTTTGCGTGCAATCGGCCGGGACATCGCAAGAGCGAATGCCCGGAAAACGCTAAGGGAAAGGAGGAAGCTGAGCAGCAGAAACAGACCAAGCAGCAGGGAAACGCTGGAAGTCAGTAGCAGACGGGCCCTCTACTGACAAGTCACGCCGCTCGCCCGACCCAGCCGACCCTCACCGAGTGATTGTGCCGGTTCACGCAATCGACCACACCCGGCCGAATAAGGAGGGTACCACGGTAGACAGCCCTATACTGCTCAGTGGGAAAATTGGGACGCACTTAGTTAAAATCTTCGTAGACGGGGGAGCCAGCCACAGCCTCATTAACACTGCTACAGCACGAAAACTGCGACTGCCACTGGACAGATGCTTACCTGAGATCGACGCACGACTGGTAGACGGCACGCCGCTGGCAATACGGGAACGCGTAGACCGAGTTCGGATTCGATGCGGGGGTAACTTCACATTCAGCCAGGAAATGCTCGCAACGACCCTCGACGGAACCGACATTTTACTTGGGCGTGATTGGCTGCGACGACACAATCCGCGAATCGACTGGACGACGGGTGACTGCACCGTGCGAGTGAACGGTAACAAGATCGCCTTACCTCGCTGGGGCTCGCCTGAGTCTTCGTCGGTGCGTGTCAATGCGATCACGATGAAACGCGCTGTAGCGGCCGGAGCTGACGTGTACGCGGTTGACATTCGGGAAGCCGAGGCAGCAGACAAGGGAGGGGATTTACAGAAACTGCTGACCGACGTACCGAGTGATCTGGCAGCACTGTTAACACGGTACAGTGACATTTTCCCGGATGACTTACCGA